TGACGTGTGAGATCCCGGCCACCACCCCTTAGAAACTCGGTACGGTTTGGAAAACCACCGTACCCAGCGGATCAGGAGGCTAGTTGCCGCTTGACTTATCACCGTGTGTCTTCGTCACCAGGCGAAGCTGCACGCCGCACGCCTGCAGAGGAATAGGATCCGGCAAGTATTCACTAAATCAGTGCTATTCAGATGACACTAGCCCTGCTGCAGGGCTAGAGTCATCTGAGGCAGGCAGGCAGAGTGCCAGCACTCTGTCTTCAATTGTTCGGTGGCGTATCCAGCAGGTATTTTTGCCTGTAATCCCCACATCCCTCCGATCGTCGGGTATGTCTGGCCTGTTCCCTGCCCTCTGTTTAGGCTTCTGTTGTATGTGATCCGGGGTTTCGTAATAAGAAATAGCTGTTTTGATGTGCGATGTTTAAGTATATGCATTTAAGTGTGGCGTTTAATCAGTGTCATGTACCAGCTAGCTTTAAAATTGTTCGTAATCTAGTCCCAGTTTCGCTGTCAGTTCGCAGAAAAGTGGTCGCAAATCCTTACATTTTTCGGATGACGTCTTTAGCGTCTTACAACAGTCCGGTCGACGGCTAGCGCGTAAATGGGAACCAGTCAGCGTCATGAAGGGTTCGTGAAGACTACGTGTTGAAGCACGATAGATCCGTCACAGCTACATTATCGGGCCACTGATGAATATGTTAAATCAAGGAGCATTCCCACATTACAAAATGGATTATAAAAAAACTGGTCTTACTGCATTGTCAGGTGACCAAAATGTGCGTTAGATCACAAGGCATCACGACATTGACAATTAGTTGAAACGTAGATTTCTGTTATCGCAGATATTATTGCTGTCACTGCTGTGATAGTTATTGTTGTGTATATAGCTATCTAGTCTTAAGTGTTCATTACCATTTATTTCATTTATCAGAAGCAGACCAACCAGTCCCTTACCTGCCCGGCTGCCTGTTCGTGCGCTCAATGTATCTGAGCGTGGCAGTGCCATTCATCTCCCTAGCCATGACCATGTAACTGGTGAAGGCAGCGGAGGGCGGCATCACGCTCCGCACGACGTAGATTCGGCGGCGACTCGTACGTCGGCGCCACATACGCGGCTACTGACCCGTGGACACCGGCAGCAGCATCCCGGCGCCAGGTGTGCCGACGTCCACCCCACGGCAGTACCAGACATCGCGCCCCTGGCCGCCCGCCACGGAATCCGGCACAACGACGTGTGAACCCCACGGCACTTGTCCCACGAACGCCGGGTAGACCGGTGGTCCCGCCGACGCTTGGCGTGAGCGCGGCGGAACCGCCCAGGCCAGCGGCGGCGCAGCGGTGGTCGGCACCAACGGTGGCCCGCACTCCACAGACCTCTCGAACGGGTGTCGCCCGTACACATCGGACACCACTGCAGCAGACAACCGTGGACCTACAGAACGGGAATATAGCGGCCCGTCATCTTTCGGCTCCGTGTCCATCGGAGCCCTGGGGTCCCCGGTCTTGTTCTCGAATGGAAACACGGCCAAGGATCGCGATTTGCAATGTTCGGGGTCCATGACACATTGAGGGGCTCCTGCGTCGGTCGGGGTCCACAATGCTCACCAGGGTCCTGTGTCGGCAAGTGACCCTGAGTCGGCCAGGAGCCGTGTTGAAGGCACCCGAAGAGGGACCAGAGGGTCTCGAGACCAAAGGTCAAGGGCGTGATTGAAAGTCTGGAGGGCCTGAAGGGCTGGCTGTAGGTCACATTAAGGACCGCCACATGTAGCATTGTGACCTAAAATGTCAACCAGAGGGTTTCTTGCACCGATTGGGGACCCGCGGTGCAGTGCGTTCCTCTACTTCGGCCGGATATCACCGACACCAAACAGTCGTCACCGGGTCGGCCCGAGCTCTCGGGGTCCACTTGCTAAACAGGGACAAGGTCGGGCCCACAGTTTGCAATGGTCGGGGTTGCTGAGGCAGTGTGGGTCCCCTGCGTTGGTCACGTGCCCCTGCAGCGGCGTGGGCCACTGTGTCGGTCACGGGCTCGCGGTACCTGGCAGGGTGTCTTGTGTCAACAAGCTCGGAAGCAGCCAGGGCTCACATAGACGGGGACGGGACTCCGAATATCAGGGGCCTCCTGCACTGGTCGGAGTCCTCTAGCAATGAAATGAAACAAAAAACTTATGATGGGAATTCACACTGGGACAGTGGAAGGGCGCTGTATCAGTCAGGGCCCCAGTACCGAACGATGGGCCCCCCAACGCATCTTCGCAAGCGTGTATCCCAACCCGGTTCCCGCCATGGGGCCGTTAGGCCAAACTGGAGCCGGCGTACCTATGTCTAAGGTGAAAAATTGCACTTTATTACTTTGTTCGAATTCGGCATATACGAGAAGAATTAAACATAACAAAAGCGATTGGCCGTTCGGACTAGATGTAGGAAAGCTCTCTCGGACTCCTTTAAGTACTGGCGTTCAGGTCGGCACCAGGTCAGCGACTGGCCAGCTCAAAAACAATATGTATGCTTCGTAACTGTTGGCGCGGCACGCATGGACGGGTTCGACTCTGGGTGACTATGCTCATACCAGACTCCCAAGTAGGGGTGTTTACTGTGGGCCGTGTAGTGGCCCGAGTGCGCCACACCAGAATGATGTGTCACGCCGCGCAGGCTATACGTCCAGTCTCCAGGTACGTCAGGGTGAGGCGGCAGGCTTTATCCAGTGGTAGTGCGCTTGTCTTGTACTGACCCTGTTGGAGCAAGAACAGGTGCACTGCGAGCATACGTGGGATTATTTGAATCATGAATTTCATGAAGGGCTTTTGACGTTTGTGCTACATGGAGCACGTCGGGCTTCCTTCTTCATCAAGCACCTCTTCCGTAGTGAAAAGGTCAAAGCAGTCCTGCTATCGTACCTGACACGTCACGGATGGGACCAGCAGGCTCACGTTCCATAACGGATCAAACATCACGTCAGACGTCGCTTCGCGCCCTGCATGCTCATCGTGGGACGACATGCGGCGATCAGGGATCTTGTCATGTCATTGAGTTCCTGCGTCGATCCGGACCAATTGCGCGGGTCAGAAGGCCTCCCGGATCAGGAAGGGGACCAATATGATATGATGCATACCTTTAAGGGACTCTGAAGACGCGAGGGAATCCCACCCCCGTGTCGCCAGAATGACAGCCGAAGGGCATCTCGCGCTGGGACGGAATAACCCCTCAGCCCTCGACAGGGAACGATAATATGCCCTCTGGTGTTCTGCTCATGGGACCCCTTGCCCGGAAAAATAAGGGGTCTCACCAGTGTGGAATAGCGCGGCTCGAAACGGGGTCAAGAATTAAAGAGGCCATTCCAAGCTTGCCTGAGAATGTTCATCCTCTTGCAGAATCGATTAGTGAAATAAAGTACATCAAAAAGTTTGAGCGTGCGCGCTCGCAATCTCAGAAACAGGGCATCGATGGTTAGGTTAGGATGGTTAGGATTGCAGTTTCCGTGGAGCCGACCGCCGTTAACCGCTGTTCTTCCTCTTGGGCGCTCGCGATGTCAGGAGCAAGACCGGCGATGACCGGGGTTGCCGTTTTCGTAAAACTGAACGGCGCTGGCCACTGCAAGTAACACCAGGCGGCGGTCGCCATGCGCGCGGGAACAACTGTCGTAAAATAATGGCTCCGAATACCTTTGAAAATTAACTCACACCGTTCAAAAGTCATGCTTGGCATATCTTTTTTGGGATAATTTGCGGATTTTGAGGATGAGTTACAACATGAAAAATAGTCTACTTTTACTCTTCCAGTTTTGCTAGCAGACTACAGCCCTACTTCGCGATGTTGTAACTTCTGATCCGTTCCTGATTTTAATATAAAATGGTACAGATCAAACACCCGGAATATTTTTTAAACACACTCATTAATATCCTTAAGTGTTCAAAGGCGCTTCTTTCAGATGCGTCGTCATTTTCATTCGCCGCTTGTCACCTCTTGGTGCTCGCACCGGGACCGACGCTAAACGCCACGTCACGGAAACTGCAACGCTGGACGTCGAGATTCTTGTGGAAGATTTGCAAGTATGTTCAAAATGATATCGCACCATCTATCGCAAATCGATTCCGGCTGACTGTTGAACGTTCACAGGCAAACATGGATTGGCCATGTTGATGCAACAAATTGTGACCTATTTCGACCTACAATCAACGTTCACGGTTCATCAATATCTGTGTAGAGCCCAGATCAAAATTCCGGCAAAGCTCGAGTTATATCGGGTTAGAAGTCCACAGAACCATTGTAAAATGGCGGGCGCCAGCGGCTGATTTCATGTAATTCTTTAGCGCCCCATTTCAGTGCAATGACTTAAAAATTACAACAGAATCCATATCGCGGTGGCTTCTGGCTCCTAATCCAGTTAAAGAAGGTAACAAATAATAATTAAACAAAGCAAAAAACAGTAACTCTCACCACTAAGTTGAACGTATCTAGCAGCTTTTCTTCGGGGCAGGAGAGGTCTATCACCATCAGGGCCTTTTGATAACCCTGTGCCCCCCCCCCCCCCCCGTTGCCAAGGCCCTGGCTGTGCCCCTGCCCGCTCTCATCCACACCAAGTAATTTATGGTGCGGGGATGTAACACGTTGGTGAGATGTGTGGCCTGGGCGTTTCCCCTCAGCATTGAACGCAGTTTTTCACCTTGACGCTATTGATTATAATCCAATAATCTAGTGATCAGGAAACCTATTTTGTGCTTGCACTGACTACAATATTTGATCAATATAACTAATAAAAAGGTAGCAGTAGCAGACTGCCACCCCCAAGAACAGGCGCGGCACTGTCTGCAAAATTTCCGTGGGCGTATGTGAAATGGACTCTTGCAAGCGACCATGATATTAGCGTTTGGTCCGAACAGCAGATGAGCGAGCTCTTGCTGTTTCCTAATACCGGGAAAAAAATCAGGATGCTGCCAGCACCACCCTGCAGCGACACATGCGTGTCTGATCACGATGTAATGACAAGGACGGCGAGCGGGTAGACCACTGAGAAGTAAATGCATTACCGACTTGCACAGACCGTCAAACCTCACGTAATTCGTGTACACTTCAGCAGTACCGAATCAAGAGTACACGGCAGATATGCAGCTCCCGCTATCAGGTGGTAAGTCAAAGAATCAGATTATAACTCAACATATGCTTTGAACATCACTCAACGGTCACATAGAAAAAGAAACAGAGGTAAAGCAGCCAAGCAGACAATAGAAGTTTCTAGCCGATGGTCTGCTCCCGGTGCCCCCACAATTCTGTGGGTCATCAGCGGCGAGCTGCGATTCTCAGCTTAACGTCTGGTCTTCAGCTAGAGGACTCTGTCGGGAGCCTGGTCCTCAACTCACGACCCATCCCCAGCATCACCCTCAATCTTAAGCTCTCAGTCCAGTCCTCAACATCTGGTCTTCAGCTAGGGCACTCAGCCGGGAACTTGTTCCTCAACTCACGACCAATCCCCAGCTTCAACCTCAATCCTCAGCTCTCAGTCCAGTCCTCAACATCTGGTCTTCAGCTAGGGCACTCAGCCAGGAACTTGTTCCTCAACTCACGACCAATCCCCAACTTCAACCTCAGTCCTCAGCTCATAATCCAGTCCTCAACTCAGCGGCCACAAAATTTGCTCAGCGTCCACTGCTAAGTTCAGGGTCTACTCTTCGACATAAGGCCCAGTCCTCATCCCAACCTTTAGCTCTAGACCCGGGACTCAGCACAGGCTCCAATCTTTTGGCTCACGTAGCTCAGCGTCCAGTGCCCAGACGTCGTTCCAGTCCTCGTAGCAGGCTCCAGCGGTCAGTTCAGAATCCTCAGCTCAGAGGCCGGTGCTCGGCGGCTAGGAGTCGGCCGGCTGCTCCTGGGCTCCGTTCCCGGCAGCCAGCTGTTTATACTTCTCGTAGCGACTGATACGTTCCTTGCAGGCGGCCAGGCTGTTGACCTCGCGCTGCTTGCCCGTCTCCTTGAGCCACACCTCGAAACGGCGGCGGAGCAGCTCCTGGGGACAGCCAGCAGCCGAGCACTGTCAGCCAGACAGTGTCAGGTCCTCTGTCTGGGTGAGCTCAGCGAGAACACGAGCAATCCCGAACACACAACAGTGCGGACTTATCTTTGCATGCACCGGAAGCAGTGCATACAGCGCTGTTTTTCGGCAGCCGTAAACATACGCTTTAAGGTCTCAAAGCCATTAACAGCAGCATATAACATCGGTCTTACGTGGACGCTCTCCTGGGTAAACCAGCCCTCCGTGCGTGACTGCGGAGGGCTGGTTTGACTCACCTGAAACTTGGCCACCTGCTCCTTCGTGAGGTTGGCGTCGGCCACGAGCCGGTTCCACTGGTCGGTGCACTGGCGGCGCTCCTGCAGCGCGCGCTGATAGCGGTACGGCAGGCTGCCTGGTGGCCGGTGCGTGCCACCCGCCATCTCGAACGGCGTGTGGAACGGAAAGAAGGCGGCCGGCTCTATCAGGCGCCAGCAGGGCGGCGCATCCAGCGAACCGTCCACGGCCACGCACAGCGGCTGGTCCCAGAAGTTGGGCACCACGCCCAGGCCTGACTGGCGCATCTGCTCCTCCAGCTGGCCGTAGTGCGTGTGGTACGGTGCCAGCGTCAGCGAGTCGTTGCGATTTCCTGCGATCAGAGGTCGCACCGGGGTCGTGATGTGGAGCGTGCAGCCGACGCTGTCGCTGACCACCAGCCGGCGGCAGACAACAACGAGTCGCACGCCGCGGCAGCCGGTCAGCTGGACTGTGCCCAACACCGGCCCCAGCACCACAGTCGTCTCATGGCACTTGTCGATCGACACGTTGCGCAGCGGGCTGAGGAAGTAGAGGAACGCCTGGTGGCAGCGGTGCAGCTTGAGCGTCGCGCCACAGAGCGTCGGCGACATGCGCGCCACCGTCTCCTTGTAGATGGCCGAGGTGACGATCAGCTTGTCCGCGGGCGGCGCCAGGTGCGCGTTGGTGGCCATCTTGCCGCGCTTGTGGTCGGCGCGCCGGTCGGCTGACGCGCTGCTCGGCCACGACAGCCGGCGGCCTGACGACACGCAGGCGGCGACCCCTGCCGGCAGCGGCGGCTCCTGAACACGACGGCGCACTGCAGACCGGCCGCCAGCCAATGCTGGAAGCTCTCAATGATTTCAGCGCCGGTGAAATGAAGGAAGAGCAAACAACCTACACAGAAAGGCAAGCAGCGAATAAAGTCCATCGAAGAGCGTTGCGAACAGGTATTTCCCCGACAAAACGAAACAACATTGACACGAGCAGCTGAAACTTGATAGCTTTTCCTGCAAAGCATGCCATGCAAATGCTCCTTCCTTGCAGACTGCGATGACGTTCAAAATGTGTGTAACATACCGTAAGGGTTTGGCCCGAGGGACGCCGTGATCCAGCGCAGCAAACGCGACTGCTGGAAGGCGTCAGCTGTAGCCACGTACCCAGTCTGAAAACAAGCCACCAAGCGCCTATAAGATCATTGGATATTAATCTTTCCTACCACACACCCATTCTTGCTTTACTCTACAAGCGTAAGGTGTCCCTGTCTGTCTGAATGTATGTCGTCTTGTTTGTTGAGCCCGTCTGCACCCGGTCGCTGAACGGTAAAATTTGGAGACGACGCGCAGGCGCTCGGGGTGGTTTTCCACGGGTAGCTCGCGAGCCGCCACGGCCTGAGGTTTGGCGTAGCACGTGCCAAAGGGACCGTTTTTGACCCATTGGTTTTGTACGTACGGCCCGAAAGTGTGCGGACGACAAACCCGACGAACAGTTGTTGAAAACGTTGACCACCTCTCTGCTACCAGGGGTCGGAGCAACAAGAGTTTGACAAAGCCTCGGTAGACAATTGAACGGATAATCGCGTGGTGCCAGACGTGCGGTTGCACGTGCCACATGTCACGTGCATAGAAGTGGTCAGGATGGGTTTGGCCGATTTTCAGTTTTTTACGCTGCTTACGTTATCTTGGCAGCCACAGTCCGATTTCAAAGCGTCGACCGTCGTACCGACGTCCACTCATGAGGCCAACACGAATTTATGCGGCGCACAGTTGCGCCAGTAATCGTTGGACAAGCCGAGAATATCGGCATTTCGAAAAACGCCGCCGAAGACAGCACGCTGCCGTCCAAACCGTAGCCAGAGTCTTCGTTAAATCTGCATCAAAGATAACCCAGTAATTATAGCCTTATTCCTCGAAGAATGGAGATATAGTTGGGTTGATATTTCGGCAACATGCCTTTATCGAAACAATAGAAGACTTTTGCTATTCCACTTCTATCGTTTCGATAAAGGCAATTTGCCGAAGTATCAACTCAACTATATCCCCATTCTCCGGGTTTTTCTCCGAGGAATATGGCTAATACTACTGTCTTATCTATGTGAATAATGTCCCTCGTTAATGCACTGAACAACTTGCGTAAATTTGCATCACTTCGTGTTCCAATTCATCGTCTATACTCACCATCCATTTATTTGTTATCCTTTGCACTGTCCCACCTATACACCAACTTTACCTAAACAGTCGCGACTACACGTTCTCACGTCGCCAAAATGTCACCGGTCGATCGCCCAGTCATCGGCGACCAGTACGCGAAGTAACACGGTGAAACTCGGCGAATGTTCCCGGTGTGCGACAGCCGCCATTTATTCATGCCTTCATTTATTCGTTGTGGCGAGAAAGGTGAATCGTGGTGACGATCAAATGCATTACCCGAATTGCTTGCTTTGAGAGATGCCGGAGGTACCACACACATCGAATGAAAAATAATTTGCAAGTAAAGAATAATTTGCCACAGGTACGATAAGAGCACCCATGAAATGCAGTCCCTTTTCAGTGAAGTTCACTGTTGCGGCAAAAACAGTGCTCCATTGGGTTCGCATATGTTTTGGAGTCGCTTAAGAGTCAACAGCACAGGAGCTTTGCAGCAGCATTGGCAAGTGACAGTGGCGAAACTAGGGAGCTCTGACACTTGCATTGGTAGCATATGGGATTATACGGAACCTTTGGAATGTATAGCAACGCTCCAAGCGCAGTGGAAATCTGAACAGCAAGACCTGAACGTCACTGGTAGTCAGCACACAACACCCGGTCCCCGTCCGGCATCACGGCAGTCAGAGGTGAGGTGGGCCGTGGAATCCCATGAATGGTGCTAATACATCCCGAATTAATGCAAACGCAAATCGTCCATAGAAGTTCCGCCGGTCAGCGAAGCAAGCCCGCAAGCACTTTGACTGCAAATCCTACCACAAAGACAACGCACTCGACATGACCCCATTCCTCGTAAAACAAGTCTCACGGTGGTCCGAAATTTCTGCCAACTCTATTATTTACCACACTTTGTGACTAATGCCTCGTCCAAGACAACTTCACTGCGGGCGGGGGGGGGGGGCATCTTTTAGTGAAAATGCACCTGTTTTCGTTTTTCACGCATAATTATCGGTATCCATGTTTTAGCCGTTGTTAGGAAAATTTTGAGAATAGCTGTGTGTTGTTTTGGCCCCAATTTCCCGAAATTTTCTGCTCTTTGTCTAAACACTGATGACCTTTCAAAAAAAGTTTCGGATGCATCCGGAGGCGTCCTCCAACCCACCCCACCCCCCTAGTGTTGGAATTTTCGCACTTGTTCGGGCATTCAACCCCGGGTAAACTTCCTCACTGGATTTGTACCATAAAGGATGAGCCTGCGTGACATTCCACAAACAAACGAATCGATCATGGCCTACACTAAGCAAAAACACACGATATGCGCATACATATCGATGCTTGTCCATGTGTAAAACTAACCATCCAACCACCCAAACCGTACAAATCCAAAACAATTGTACTAACTTCCACCCACTGCTCCCCAGCTGCCCCCGTCTCACGCTACAAAAGAAGACACTGTGCTCTGCCCATTTCTCTGCTCACTGCGGCGTGGTAGCCCATAGCGTTGCATATGCCCCATGCGTCAACGTTGCTTACGATCATTTCTCCGAGGCCGCCGGGTCAGAGTGGATTAGAGGCGTCCTCGAAAATGATAACGGTTGGCTTCCCAAGAATGGGAAATAAGAACCGAAATAAGCGTGAAAAGTCTGAACTTTCTCACCCGTCAACGCGCCGCATCTGGCCCGGGAAGAATTCGTGGGCTCTTGGCCAGGCTCTGGGCCGGATTTGGCGGGCCTTTGCGGGTTGAGCATCGTAGGTGGAAAAATTATACATTTGCTGTCAGTACTAACGTTCCAAATTAAAAACCGAGCTGTACTGCCACACAAAACAAAAAGCCATCTTTTTATTTTTCAGCAATGGGCCTAGTGAGAGAAACCCATCGCAGACACGGCACAACAGTAAGCCTATTGCACGAGCTGAACAATTGTATGCGACCATCACATCGAAAACTTCATAACAATTACACGAATTTTCTAAGCATGGCCTGATTTCAACAAGCGGTAGCCAGTTGGGCCCTTTATACAGTACGTCACACAGGGACATGCTGCCCTTTGCTGTTATTGTGACGATGTGTACTTTCTTGTGTCACACGCAAACCATGTCACAGAATCGATGTCAATGATAGATTAGCTGATCGAAAGCCCTATCCCAGCACTGCAACAAATCAAGAAATCTAATGAGCCCAACAGGTACCAAAGGCACATAATGCGTTGAACTCTTGCAATCTACCGGCCCTGAACAGATTTCGACCACATGACTCAAATTAAAATATATCCTGAAATATAAGTCCCTCGCATGACTGCTTAATGCATGGCTGTCCTCAGGAGTGGAATTCCTCAACTCAGGAATTCCAGGATCCTGGAACGAATCAGTTGTAACAACTATCTTAAAGGTGCGGGCTCCCAGTAATATTTTTGCCAACACTGCCTCCACTGCCAACACTGCCAAGTTCCCCGTCATATTTGTCAAAAACCCTAGAAAAACTTGCATTCACTTTCACGTACCTCCACATCACTAACAAACTTCCATCAGGCAGGTAGAAATTCGTCTGGAGCTTTTGCAACATTTCTTTTTTAGTGTAGCCCGTGCCAAAGCTCGGCCTTGACTGTAGCAGTGAAAGCAGTGGTCTGTGTCTCTGTCAGCCATTCATTTTTCGGTTGCGTGAGGGGGGAGGTATAATTGGTCCTAGCTCTTGTTGGCTTTGTCCACCGTCAGTCTATTTCGGTGGATCTATGTTTTCTCTAATCCAACTTTGATTCTCCATAGTCCAACGGTTCATGGCGTGTCATTTGAAACATTCGCATGGTTGCATTCTTATTGACCTTTCTATTGGGCTTGACTTTATCATTCGACTTGATTATGGCCTTAACTCATTCCAGTATTCGAGGAAAAGGTACTGTTCATATAAGCACCATCAGAAGATCACGACAGGACCATGCAGCTCTTGAGCCGCCCATTGGCTGAGGCGTTTGTCATCAACCGAATAAGGGGCTGCCAGATGTATGCAAGGCGATCAGTGACACCCATCTGAAGCGTATTGACTGAGGCGTTCGCTGTCAATCGAATAAGGAGCTACCGGATGTATGCAAGGTGATCAGCGACACCCATCTGAAGCGTATCGAACTTGGACTGTCCCGTCTTTCAAAGTGTCCCGGACGTGCAAATAAATAGCCGCCGTGGAAATGTTGACAATGATGTGGAAATCTTTAAGGGAGTGTTCCACATTTGTATGGGGTTTATAACTGAAATAGCCATCTTGAAGATCATTCGGCGCAGACCACAGCCCTGCCCTCTATAAGACCTAAAGCCCTCTAGTTTCTATCTACACGTCCGCGAAAAGATGTTCAGGTTATTTCGGTGGGACTATTTCAAAGTCATCCATGCATCCATGGCGCTAAAATAATGTCCTTCGAATTTTGTCATTTCTTTGGCCGTGCGCCGACCAGGGCCAGGAAAAATACCTGTCAAATCACACTTGCCTGGCGTTCGTGCGCACAATTTCTATATATAACGGCCATCAACTGACTCTCAATCAATGTTGTGTAAAGTCCGATACCGAAATCAAACAATGACGCGTTGAAGAGCATATCTACTAGCACACAGGCAGGCAGGCAGCCAGTCAGTTTGCACGTGAAGTTTGGGCTGGACCACTGGCCTAAGGTATCGGGGACGCGTACACTGTAGGAAGCAAATAACACCAAATATTGTTGTGTTTTACTTTTGGCCATAGCGTTCTGGGGAGGTCAGCTTAATACAATGCATAAACATGTTTGCTGTTTTCCATGCGTTGTGGCCAAAAAGATCGTTCCAAGTGTTGTGATTTTTTCCTCGTTCGAGTCAAAACTACGCTGTTCCGTCAGCCGGTCACCCGAGCCTCGTTAGGCGTCTGACCGTGGCAGGCTCGTCTATCCCACCTGGCTGGTGCGGGCGGGGTTGGAGGCGGCCGTGGCCAGCGTCACGGCTGGCCGTTCTTCCGCGGCAGACGCTGCAATGCCTTGATCGACGTCGATCAGGAAGGAGAGCGCTTCCACCACAGTCCGGCACACCATCACATCACCGCCGGCCGGGCCCAGGGGCACACCCTCCCCCAGCACCTGCGGCGCGGCACAGCCGCTGGTTAGACATGGCGCAGACAGACATCACCACCGGCCACCGCCAGCTGGGGTCAGGTGGCTCCGATTGAAGCTATGGCCGAAGAACTTCTCATACTAGGGTGCAATATGACCACTGCAGTCGGCGCGCTAAAAAAAAAAAACTCCAATTAACAACGATAAAAGGTATCATAATGTCTGTCGATGTTTAAGGTGGCCTGTGAATGATGCAACGTTGAGGCATTACGGGCTGGTCGAAACCGATTACGATGCCACAGTTAATGCACTGCAAGGACCGCTTAGCAGTTCGATGCATGATTGCAGGTGCCCCAAGTAGCGGCGAATGGTCGCTGTGATTTCCACCCGCGCCAGACCCGCACATTCCTTGGAAACTCCCCTGCAGCGCCGGACTTGGGTCCACATCCAGAGGCAGCTTTTCCAAAGCCACTAGGCATCTAGGCAGTTGATAGTCCCTGTTTGGCCGACCCGCCGGCCACCGCACCATCCCTAGAGCTCCCGACACCGCATACCGTACCGCCGACCCGGAGAGCTCACTCACGTCGACCAGCGCGCTGAGGTGCGTCTGCACAAACAACAGGTGCTGGTGCTCCTCTAGCTGCTTGTGCTGCCGGTCGCCGGCCTCGGGCGATTCGGCGCGCGCCGCCGGCCACTCGTCAGCCGTGAGTGAAGACACCGACACCAGCCGCTGCTTCTTGCCGCTGTGGCTCAGGTTCTGGTCGGCACCGGGGTGGACAGGCGGGACAAGACACGTGTCAGCGGACGTACTGAAGAGGTGTGCCGGGCGGTCGGCACTGGGGTGGACAGGTGGGACAAGACACGTGTCAGCGGACGTGCTGAAGAGGTGCGCCGGGCGGACGATCAGCTGCAACTATGGCTTAGACTGTGAAGGATATACCGCAACCATCGTGACACGCCACTACGCGAGACATCAAACACAAATTATGAATGCACCTAGTGCTGTTTTTGTTTTGCAAGCACGCATAGACAGGTCACCAGCAGCCGGTGCCGTCACCGGTCGCTTCACCTGGATGAAGAGGTAAGCGATGAACTGCAGGATGTCGACGTGTCGCTGACCGGCGAACTGGTCGCGCTCGACAGCACCCTCGCAGCGCGCGTACTCGCCGTCCCACTGCAGCCGCTCGTCCGGCAGCCGCGGCGTCAGCAGCTCGAACGTGTCGAAGTACAGCCGCGCCAGGCTCTCCGTCAGCTGCAGCTTGTTGCAGGCGATGTGCTTCCACAGACTGTAGTAGAGTCGTGGGAAGTGGGCGGAGCCGCGGTGACGCGCGTACTGCACAATCTTACGCAGGTACTTGACGGAGATCTTGTGCGTGGCGTTCACAGGCAGGATGCCGTACACGAATGGTTCGGAGCGTACCCACAGGCGCGGGCTGCGCTCCGGCTCAGCGCCGTCCGCCATCGTCGCCACGGCGGGCGCGTAACGGACGAGCCACCAACTGTCCGTGCGTGTACGGCGGACGCGGCAGTAACCGTAACTTCGATGGACACGTGGCAGGCTTAAACACACTCTGAAGATAGAAAGTTAGGCGGAACTTAAGTCTTATATGTCTGGTAAATGCACCTATTTAGATGTACCTAATTGGTGAAGTAAGGCGCGCTCTGACAGGCATGTACTGCGCATGATATTTCAATAAAATTTTTGTGGGATTTTCAGGCCCGAAACAAGCACGTCGCATGAACTTCCCATGGTCTAAAACAGTATAGAGACGCATACTCCCCTCCTCAAAGGCGGATTTGGGGGAAGTATGTGTGTAGGGAGGACAGGACAACCGGAACATCCTCCAAAATGATAATATTCAAGCACAATTTACCACCAAAACTTTGCTGCAGAGCACGTCTCAGATGCGAGCAAGTGAAACCCGCCGAGATTGTAAGAACAATAACAACTTCTGATGTAGCCGCCGCCCCCCCCCCCCCCTCCCGCCTCTTAAGCCGGCGTTACTATCTAGGCGGCTTTCTGGATCCGCCACTGATATTTTTAGACGTCGAAAATCATTACACCGCTCATTCGACATCTTTTTTGTAATGATTAAGGGTTCTGGGTGCTACTGCGTTAGAAAAGTAGCTACACCTCCGCGTGCAATCTTGCTTGTTCAGGCGCATACCAACGAGCCAGCTGCCATACGTGGCCGGGAGGGGACAGCAGGGAGGAGGGGGGGGGGGGGGGGGGGATGGATAGAGGCGTGTTTCCTTAGCGGAAGACAGTGCAGAAGTGTTTCAAAAATCTTTGGAGACTCTTTTCGCCCAAACTGGAGGTTGTGTATGTAAATATATTCGGATCTACGAAGCCCCTATAGCTGAGGAACGGAGCATTAAACCAGGCTTAAAAGACTTTCCTGCATCAGGAGGCCCGTTTGGTCGACCAGAAGATTCCTTCACGGCTTAGGTGGCCCATGCTCTGGATCGGAAGGCCCTATGCCATGGTAAGGAGGCCTCTTTGTTAGCTCGGGAGGCCTCCTTCATGAATTTAAGGCACATGTCTGGGGCACAGTTCTGGATTAGGAGGCATCTTATGCATCAGAAAGCCCACTAAACTGGAACAGGACATTTTGCATATCGTAAGGCCACTTCCAGATCAGGATACCAGAGGCCTTTTTAGTGGGTTGTAGGGATTTTTCCCCAGGTAAGGAGGTCCCTCTAAGGGACCTCCTTACCTGGGGAGGTCCCTTAGAGGTCCCGAGGTCCTCTTCCCAACAGGAGATCCTGTTTTGGGATGGAGTCTCTTTGCGGCTCTGGAGGTCGCCTGCATCTTTACGATACAGGCGACCTTTTTTTCTTTATGCTCCTTTTCTGGATATTTTAAGTGATGGCATCGAGTCGCATGGATCTTGATGCATGTAGCAATTTCATGAGGAAATGCTCTCCCCCTTGTATATAACACCGCCCAGGACAGCCGCCAGAGTTTTCTATACAACAAATCGGAGAGCACGCAATCACGTAAGCACGCAATCACATAGATCTTAAAATTTCTGTCATGAGACCCATGGCAAAAAATGAAATCTGGGCCCAAGAGGCCCTACCAGGCTGTGCCTGTGGCCCAGGACCAGGAAGGGCGTTCCTATGAGGAAGCACCATTGTCCAGAAAGCCTGCCCTAAAATGCCGCTCCCCCCCCCCCCCCCCCAATGGCATCGTCGGAAGCACCGCCCCTGCACTTGGGTATAGCCTGTATATACCTACAAACAGGCGCACAGGTATGCACCTGTTTGCGTATGCATAGTAAAGGTCTGAGAAGGAAACAACATATTTGACTGAATGAGAGCGCAGCCCTATCCTTCAGACGAGGTTTCTTCCCGAAACGCCTATTTCCTCAACGCGCCCGGTTACGCATTTGCACAAAGGCGATTGAGAACTTAAAATGTTTACATTATATCTAGGTTTGAATTATCAGGTACTTCACTGCCTTCGCAGTTTCAAATGTGCCGAATTGCCGCATTTTCTTTAAAATCAACTGCGCGCCCAAAGTATGTGCCAGGTAGTTTTGTTTCTACCGCGCATTGCTCTGCGCAAGTTCATATATGACGTCATTGAGAGCACACTTAACGCTGGGGCAGCCACCTAGTTGGCAAGGGAAAGCGATCGCAGGACAGATCCAGAGGGAGAAACGGGGTCACGGACTCCTTGGGCCACTTCAGGACCCAAGAGGGCCCAGAGGCTCCGAGGGGGGCCATAGGGGCCTATGAAGAGGCCCATTCCCGAAAGGGGCCGAAAAGGCCCATATGCTATGGGGCCCCTATCCTGCCCCCGAAGGGACCCATATTCTACGGGCCCCTCGGAGCCTATGAGCCCCGAACAGACCCATAGGCTCCGAGGGGGCCCTAAACGTCCACTTGTGGGGTCAACCTGATCGTTAAGGAACGTTCTATGTTGTCCTTGATTTCTTTGCATTTGCTCGGAGGGCCCTGCGCTGTTGCTGGGGTTCTCCTTGCTACGTACCGGGACACTCTCTGTCAATCAGGGACCTCGTACGGATTCTTTTCATTAGCCCGAAACGCTCTATACTCTGGAGTCGGGGGGCCCATATGTCGGCATGCCGGGGTACTTTATGTCAATATTTCATGCCGGGGCTGCTTGGGGGCCATTAGCGTTGGTTACCGTTAACCTAACGAAACGCTAACAATATGTTCATGGGCCCTCTTTAGTGCGCTAGGACCTTTCCCCCATTTTTTGGCACTTGCTTTGGCCCCTACACTCTTGTCTGGGACGCATCTATTAACCTACTTGGGCTCACTCGGTCGTTCGGGGTCCTCCAAATTGGGTCTTGGGTAATTCCCTTTGGAATGGAGGGCCCTATGCACTTGTTGGGGCCCCTATTTGTCATCCAAGGTACAAAACATTTTAAGACAAATAGTATGTAGCATATATATAAGTAAAGATATCTACATCTATATACATATGCATAATAAACACAACAGTCCATCCCGCTGTGCGCAACTCTAAAAAGCTAGATGTGCTACGCATGCATATACATAGAGTTTGTTTATTTTCTACAGATCATGTTGAATCCTGTAATTTTGAGGCTTCGAGTTTCGGAACAACAGGCAAATTAACCCGAGGTGGCTGCCAACAACCATCAAAACCAAGCATGGATTTAATTCCTGGCTTATTTACGGCTAGCCGACTGGGCGATGTCATCAGCTGATGGCTGATGACTGGTGCGGAATTTGTCCTTTGTTATAAAGCAGTACAAAATGCCCTGGTATTCAAAATATGTTAAGAACAATGATGTACTAGTATAATAAGCGTCACACGCTCAACAGTCAATGAAAATGACACATACGATGTCCGCGGCACGTAAAATTACGTTTGGCAAATGCGCGTAAAAATTCATCAGTGCATATCCGACTGCTGCTCTAAGGCGAAGGCACCAAGGCCAATAGGGACGGAACGTGGGCGATCCTGGGTACCGCAGGAGGCCAACAAAGTGGCTGCCGTCAGCAAGCATAGGGTCCTCAGAGCAAACAAAAAGAACCCAAGAGAAACGGGCGTGGTGGGCCCCTAAACGATCGGCGGTGTCCCGGCAGGCTGCCATATAAGGGCCCGGCCTCTCCACAGTACAGCACCCTCTGAGCAAAGGGAATCATCCAAGACCATGAATGACCATGACCCCTGTGCGATCAACAGTGCACGGGCAGGCTAACGGAAAGAGCCTCGATAAGGGTGAAGAGTTCTCCGCAAATGAGATCAAAGGGAAAGAGCCCTCGATGAAGGTAGGAGGCCCCTGAGCATCGAGCGTTTCGTTGCCTTACCTTGTAAGAGCTACAGCAACAACACATGGTCCTCCAAGCAAGTCGAAAGAACCCGACACTAATATGAAGAGCCCCTGAGTGACTGAGTGTACCCTGGCATATGGGGCCCTGGAGAGAACGTATGGAGCTTTTCAGGCGAATGGGAAGAATCTGTGGAGGAAAGCCTGCATCGATCAAGAGTGCCCAGGCATGGAGGTGGATAGCGTCCCGACAGCACCGTTAGGCCCTACGAGAAAGTGCAAAGAGATCAAGGGCAGCGTTGAAAGTTCCTTGGAGATCAGATTGGCCAATTAGGTGAATATATAGGCCCAGGGCGACCAACAGCGTAATGCCTCTAGACAGCATAGCGAACCCCAAATTTTTCCCCACGCTACAGCTTCCCAACCAAAAAAGAATTAACTTAGTCTGCCCATCAACTCTTTACTTTCACTAGCAATTGTTCTTGGTCGTGTGTAGACTCAAAGCGTCCAATTTTGTCGTACCTTTGTTGTCAGAAAACTGCGTCAATTCAGCCGGTTATGGACCTCTTCGGAGCCTTCAGGTACACTCTGCATGGTCCATGGGGGTGTGCTTCGGTGCCCCCTCCCCTCCCCTCTGTATTCGCCACCGGACCGAGCAGCTTAATGGATGGGGTCCACCAAAAACATAAGGCCATCCATTCAAATAAGAAATACTCACGACGCAATGTGTAGGGCTCCGAAAGATCGCGTGTGTCCGAGCAGGTTGGCATATAGGGCCCCCGCGAAGAGCGTATGGCCTTCCATTTGAGTAGGAAGTACCCAAGACCCAACGTGGACGGCCCCCGAATAATCGGGTGTGCCCGAGCAGATTATCAGATGGCTCCGACAAGAGTGTAGTGCCCTAAATTCAAACACCAAAACCCAATACACAGGGCCCCGAACAATCCAGCGTGGCCGAGGAGGCGAACAGATGGGTTCCCAACAAATGCGTAGGGCCCTCCATTCAGGTAGGAAGTACTTAAGACACAATGTGGAGGGCCCCCGAATTATTGAGTGTGCCCAAGCAGATTAACAAATGATGCCCCCGACAAGATCATAGGTACCTCCACTCAAAAAAGAAGTACCCAAAACGAGATGTAGAGGTCCCCCAACGATCGAATGGGCCCAAGCATCTTATCAGAGGAGCCCCAACAAAAGCGTAAGGCCCTCCATTTCAATAAGAAATAACCGAAACACAGTGCTGAGGGCCTCCTAAAGATGGACTGCACCCGAGTAGGTCATCAGATGACCCCAATAGGAACGCAGCGCCCTAAATTCAAACACCAAGACCCAATGCGCAGGGCCCCCCGAACAATACAGTGTGGCCGGGGAGGCGCACAGAGGGGTCCCCAGACAAGTGCGTAAAGCCCCATTAAAAAGAACGTACCCAAGACCCAATGAAGTGGGCCCTCGAACGACCGAGTGTGCCCAAGCAGGCTGTCAGTTGGGCCCCCGACAAGAGCGCAGGGCCCTAGGCAAGTGACAGGGAATTTGAAGCGCCCTTGACCAATTTAGAGGGCCCCTGAGCATATCGCGAGTGTGTAGGTAAGTTAATAGAGACCCACGTCAAGGGCCGCTGAGCGACCGAGAGTATCGCGGCAGATTAAGACATGGAGCCCCAGCTTTAGCCCACAGAGTATTTCTGGTGAATGGAAAAAATCCGTGGAAGGGCCCGTGATTGACATAAGTGCCCCGGCACACTAGCAGGAAGGCCCAGTAACAGCGCAGGGCCCTCCGAGCAAATGCAAGGAAATCGAGGGTAACGTGGAAGGCTCTGTTATACCGTAGTGCGGTGCGGCACCCATGTGCGATATCATGTGCAAAGTGCTCGCAAAGTGCAAGGCAAAGTGCCCGCGCCATGCACCGCACGTGGCGCCGCCTGTCACAGCCGCGCCCCGGCCGTCGGCGCTGCGGGCTAGTCTAGGTCACGTGGCGTCGGCCTCTGGCCCAATCAATGGCGGCCCTTGGTGGGACCGAGCCGCGGTCAGGTACGGGGCGCAGACGAGGGGCAGTCGGGTCCTAGATCCCAACTGACAAGATAGGCGTTTCGTTCGTCTCCCGTTCTCCCTTTGAGCCGCTGGAAAAGGTTAAAGGGTTTGTGCCCTGCCGTATCTACGGTCGGCGGCTCAGGACACTCCGCGAAAGCCGCAGTCCTGACCTCCCACCAAGCCCCACTGGAGATTCAATGGCAATGAGCTCCGCTGCTACCCCGGTGGATACTGTGTGCATATAATCATATTGCACCTGTAATTTAACTGCATAATTGGGGCGAGCGAGCTAGAGAGGTCCCAAGAACAACATATAATGAGTTGGAGCGATATCGGGCATAACAGCTCCTTGACGATCGGAAGGGCCCTGCAAGTGGGCATGTAGGCCCCCCAGAAACAGCATAGGGCCCAGACAGTGTAATGAGGCTTAAAATTCTCCATTCACAATTTTTTCAATCATCGAATATGTTTTATCTCTCGTGGGCCTTCACTTTCCCCTACAGCTCTTCTTGGTCGCCTGGAAATCCACGGATGTTCAATTTTGTTGCGTCTTGTGTTAAAAAAGACTGCACATGCTCGGCCGGCTGTGGGGCGTCCTTAGGCCCCCAAGGAGCCTATCGGCTCCTGGGGGCCTAAGGGGGGGGGGGTGCATGACCCCGGGGCCACCCCTCTGGACACGCCCCTGGTGTCGCATGGGCACCAGTCGCGCCTTGTGCTGCCGCCAGTTGCCAAAAGACAGGCTCAACTGATGTGGGTATGCTCTGCATCCAACCATGTAGTCTCTTACCGGAAAAACATGCTCACTGCAACTGTATATGATAAATATTACTTGATCAGACAGTGCTCGACTTGAATGGGCTACTTGCTTGTCCTAGACACAGATTTTACACACATTTTACACCAGGCAAAATTCAGTGTGCGGATATTTGAAAATACGGAAATGAAGCCCACCCAGGGAGGCCACAGACTCTCACCCTTTTTGGCTCGTCCGCAGCAACCTACCCCAGAGTCCACGGTGCGGAGGGCCCCGAATAACCGAGCTCAACGGCTTATATGAGGGTTGCGCCCGAATGAAACAAGCTTTTCCACCGCGCATGCGCACACCCAGCTAACCTGGAAAAACTGATTCGGAGTTTTCTCATCTCTTGGTGGCCGGCCTCGGCTTTCCGTACTGGCGCGGCCGACAGCCAGCCACGCTGCCTGGGGTCAGATCTCCGGACCAGCTGGTCATTGGTGCCGTGTGCACAGCCAGGCCTGTATCATACACAGAGGACGCGCCCGCCTACTATTCCGACGGCTCGCACGATGCAACCGCAGAGCAGCTACGCGAGCGACGCACGGCGGTGGATGAAAATATTTATAGCTGAACGAGCAACTGACCAAGGACCCATAGTGAATTCGTAAAACCTATGAAAGACAGACTCCTAGCCTGAACAGGCGTGTTTTGATTTACACCATGTGTGGCTTTTGTGATTGACACCATTTAACGTCCATTGCCTCGGACGTTTTGCTTATTTGACGCTTCGCATTCATCTTGATCAGGGGCGGATCCAGGATTTCGTCAAGGGGGGGGGGGG